GGGATGAGTAAAGATGCAAATAAAAGTAAAATTTCACCTGAACAAGTGGTGTAAGCGTAGCAACAAACTAAAAATGCTGATAAATAATTAGAAAATCCAAATGCAAACAGTCAAGATGAGGTTGGATGTGTAGATGCTAGCTGACTTCACAGCAGGTCTGAGGGTGAACCTAACACAGATGAGATCTGGTGATGAAGCAGAAAACTCTCAATCAGATATTACCCAATTGAGCTAAAGAAAATCAGGCCTAAAGCCTGATTCATGCTTCTCCGTCAGCTCCAACAGGGAGAGACACGCACGCACGGATGGAGACATTTTGCTCTCATACTTCTCCGTCTCCTGGGGAGTGTTGCCAATCAATTTCCCGCCAGGACAACAGAGGGCGGAGCGCTGTTCTGTGGTATCCTGTCATGTATCCGGTACAAGATAGTGTGTTTATATTGTGTTTTTTTTTGTATATAAGAGATTTTTTAACACAGACAAATTTGTCTCATTCTCCTCCACCTCTTCATGCGCTCGCCACCTCTAAACCCACGTTTCCTGTCATTTCCGTCCACAAATAAAATGCTTGCTGCGCATCTTTTCACTCCTCCAGTCACGGGGGAATTAAACGTTCATATTTACAGTTTTTTGCGAGGTATTCTTCAAGCTTCTCTGTGTCTGCCACTAGTTATCCTCGGCTCTCTTTATGTTTTTGAGGGTGCAATGGTGGCGGGGGTAGACGACAGCGGCGCTCTGACCAATCACAAGCTTGTGTTCTCCGTCTCGACGGATGGATGTTCAGAAAAGAGAGCTCGACTCCGTATGTACTTGCAGGGCTCTCCAGCAGGCCCGCAAGGACAGATAATGGCGTTGCGTGTCTCCGCACTGACGCAGACGCAGAAACATGAATCAGGCTTAACTTCACACAGCACGGAGACTTGATTCCTCCATGCTGAAAACTCTGTTAAAGCAAAAACTGAAAGAGCTAAATTAATGGTCTTCAACAGGGTATGTTGATTTGCCAAACATTGATAAAAGTGTGCGTTTATTAATCCATCCATCGCCTTGGTAACAAGTCCAAAGAAGAAGCCCAGGCAACCTTTTTTCTAGGATATTCCTGGCCTACAGGCCTTCTTCCAGACGGTTTCTTATGCTTGGAAAACCTCCAGAGAGAGGCAACCCAGGACACCTCAGCTGACTCCATCTGATGAGGTGGAGCAGCGGCTCTACTCCAAGCTCCCCTTAATATGATGGAGCTCTTCACTTTACCTCCAAGGCTGAATCGGACAGAGTAAGATGATTTCAGCCAATGGTATCTGGGATCTTTTTCCTTCCGTCATGATTAGAATGTCATGGCGATAGGTGAGGGTTGGAACATAGATGGATCAGCATATCCAGAATGTTGGCTCTTGACTCAGTTCTTTCTTCCAGAGAAGTTCTGATCCATCTCTATTCCACCAGCACACCAAGATTCATGAACTCCTCCGCTTGAGATGAAGATGAATTTTTTTCCATCTTTTTATGATTTCAAATAAACAAACCCCCTTAATTTAAAGGTAAACATACTCACAAATACATTTGCAGTGGTTTCTAGTTGGAATAAATGCCTTGTAAGTCAAATTCTGCAATAGGTGCTGGAGAGCGCTCCTTCTGGTGACTTCCTCAGTCTGCTAGGGGACTCTTAACGCTCATGCCGGCAATGGCAGTGAGACCTGGAGAGGTGTGGTTGGGAGGAACCCCCCGATCTAAATTAGAGCTGTGTTTTGTTATTGGACGTCTATGCTAGTCATGGATTGTCCACAATGAACACCATGTTCAGACATAAAGGTGTCCATATGTACTCTTGGCACCAGGATACCTTAGGCCACAGCTCGATGATCAACTTTGTTGTTTCATCTGATTTACTGCCGCATCTCTTGGACACTCGGGTGAAGAAAGGGGCGGGGCTGTCAACTGACCATTACCTGGTGGTGAGTTGGCTCCGATAGTGTGTGTGTGTGTGTGGGGGGGGGGGTGGGGGGGGGTGGGGGGGTGGGGGGGGGGGATGTCGGTCAGACCTAGCAGGCCCAAACATATTGTGAGAGTCTACTGGGAACTTCTGGCAGAGTTCCCTGTCAGAAGGAGCTTCGATTCCCACCTCCGACAGAACTTCCAAAACTTTCCGGGGGAGGCGGGGGACATTGAGTCAGAATAGGCCATGTTCCGTGCACCCATTGTTGAGGTGTTCAACCAGAGCAGTGGCCGCAGGGTCATTGGTGCATGTTGTGGAAGAAACTCCTCAACCTACTGGTAGACAGCGGCGGTTAGGGATGCCTTCAAGCTGAAGAAAGAGTCCTATCAGAACTTTTTGGCCTGTGGGACTCCAGAGGCAGCTGATAGGTATCGGCAGTCCAAGCGGAATAAGGCTTGGGTGGTCGCAGAGGAAAAAACCTGGGCTTGGGAGCAGTTCGGTGAGACCATGGAACAAGACTCTCATACGGCTTCGAGGAGATTCTGGTCCACCATCCGGCGCCTCAGGAGGAGAAAAACAATGCACTACCAACATTGGGGACGGTGTGCTGCTCCACTTGAGACGTTGTGGATTGGTGGGGGTCATACATCGAAGACCTCTTCAATCCAATCAGCATGTTTTCCAGTGACGAAGCAGAGTCCAGGGAGTTTGGGTTGGATTCACAAAACTCTGGGGCTGAGGTCACTAATGGGCTATTCCCATCTGTACCGGGTCGGCCCGGGCCGGGTAGCCCCAGTCGGCCCCAGCCTGGCCCGGTTGATTCCACACATCCTTGTCTTAAGCCCATGTGGGCTGATTCTACCCACCAATCAGAGGCTTGCTCTAATGGAAGGTGTGAATTTGCTGTCAGCAGTGGGTGTGTTGGCCCTGGTCGGCCTGAAGCAGACCCCCTCAAGAAGAGGGCTGAGAATGAGCCTTGGTTGGCCCGGAAAAATACCAGGCCACCCAGATATGAAAACAACCTACGCTACCCGGCCCGGGCCGACCCGGTACAGATGGGAATGGCCCATATGGTTGTCAAAAAGCTTCTCAGTGGAAAGGCTACAGGGCTGGGTGAGATTCGCCCAGAGTTCCTTAAAGCTTTGGATGTCGTAGGGCTGTGTTGGCTGACGCGGCTCTGCAATTTTGCACGGACAAAATTAGTTTTCTTCGAATGGTGGCCAGCTCTCCCTTAGAGATAGGGTTAGAAGCTCGATCATCCGGGAGGGGCTCGGAGTAGACCAGCTGCTCCTCCACGTTGAGAGGATCCAGTTGAGGTGGCTTGGGCATCTGGTCAGGATGCCTCCTGGACACCTCCTTGGCGAGGTTTTCTGGGCACGTCCAATCGGGGGGAGACCCACGGGAAGACCCAGGACAGGCGGGAGGGACTATGCCTCTTGGCTGGCCTGGGAATGCCTTGGGATTCCCACGAAGGAGCTGACTCAAGTAGCTTGGGAGAGAGAAGTCTGGACCTCACGGTTTAGCTCTTTGCCCCTGTGACCCGACTCTGAATAAGCGACTGAAAATCGATGGATGGACTATTTTCACATTCGGTCGGCATGCTTAACTCTGATCATTTTCAAAAATAATAAGTGAAAAATGGTTTCTCAGTGAACTTGCTCTTTAACTTTAAAATGATCATTGTTTTGAAATTTGATTTGAGTATGAAAATAAAAAGTTACAACTACTTAGTTCTGTTTTATCCTGGATTTGCTAAAAGATCAACATTTCTAAGTGGAATTGTCCCTTGAAAACAGGATAAATAAGACCTATGATTGCATTGGAAATATTCAAAAGACTGAGGAATATTCTGAGTAAAATGGTCAAAAACCTTTAAGACTGTCATGTCACACTGACAAGTGGTCCGTAGTGGGAGGACATCCTTATAAAAGAGGAAAAACATTTCTAATCCTGCAACAATTACCCTGGAAAAATGTGCCTCCGAGTTTTATTATCAGAGTTTCAACAGCTGCGTTTAGACAGATTTTGCTTTTCATCTCTTGATTCTTCAAATCCACTCAGGCTCACTTCATCATACATTCTGGCATTAGACGAGCCCTCCCTCGGCTCCGTTTTATCTTCCCACAGAGCGCAAAGACAAAAAAATCAGACTTGTTTAGACGTGGTAATTGAAACTTCTGTGTGAAAAGCACTCGGCCGCTTTAAAATCAGCCTTGGGTTGTTTCACAAGTGCTGAATCCATATCTGGACCAAGCACATGGCATAAAATTAGTATTTTATTCAGTTAAGATAATTCTATTCAAGAGATAAGGATCTTGTTATCTTTGCTTAAGAAGTGTGTGAAGAAACTGACGGGGGACTCGCCCAATCCTCTCCTCTCACTCTGAACATTAACTCGTCCTCATCAGCAAAAACACAGAGAGGAAGGCTACTGATAAAAGACAGAAAGGGAGAAAAAAACAGATTTCGATACAATCAAAGGAGAAAAAGACGGTGTGAGCAAAAGATGGAGGGAGGAGGGGATGTGTGTTAATCAAGCCCCCACAATGCCGCTCTAAAAATGGTCCCATCCCGGAAGTAAGAAAAATTGCAGTTCCACCCTCATCCGCTGGGGGCTGGTGCCAGAAGCGAGCAAATCCTCATTGACTCCCATGTTAAAAATGCCGATTTCACAGCAGAAATAAACATGTTTACAGCCTGGTGCCAAAACATGTTTTTTGTCTAAATTATCTAGTTTATACTCATGACAACTCTGAGGGGGGTGAATTTTTTTCTCACTCTTCTGTTTAAGTGTATTGAAAGCCTAAAATTCTGTATAATTAATGAGCATCCGACACACGTGACCGCCGCCTCAGACCCACGTGACCACATAGCTAGCTCCGTGGAAAGGCCTCAGTACAGCCTCGGTCTGGCTTGGAAACTGCTCCGGCATTTTGAGTCTCTGTGTTTGTGTATTCTTCTTTGGATATTATTGGTGCAATTGTTGGACAAAATGACTTGCAGTGGTATTAATTGCACTAATAGAGCATCCAAGGAGTCTCCACTTCATTTTTTTCGGTAAGTTAAAATCTATATTCGTATTTTATGTCACTGCCACCTTTAAACTAGCTGAGTTTACCGAAGTAGCTAGCTAACTATCAGTTTAACATGTAGCATGTACTGTTTAACCATGAAATTTAAATGTAAAATACGGTAAAATAATTAATAGGGCATATTTAGATGGGTAATAGGGTAAAACCCAGTGCATTTAAGATAAAAATGGGTTGAAATATGACGGAGCGCTAAGAGGGAGACTTCTGTGTCCATTCTTCCATCCGGTAATCCCCAGCGGTCAGGCCGGGCAGCCTGACCGATCCGGCGCCTACTTGCTGCGCCTTGCTGCTGCGCGGTCTGACCGCTCGTGGAGTTTTTCATGTCTGACTTTAACCGCATCTACCGTATTACGGCGTGAGCGCAACAGCGACAACTTAATATCGATGTGTAAGCAGCCTGAGTGGTAGGGTGTTTTCATCTGAACCCTTAAAACCTCGAGCAGGCTATGCTGCACTATTGACGTGTTAGCGCGCGGCGCTAACAACTTAGCAACGTGACATGTCTCTGAGAAAGCGTAAAACACGGACGCTTCTTCTGAAGCGGAAAATAACACCTCTTTTTAAGCAGAGCAGGATGTCGCCTCGGCTCGTTCACGGCCGAGCCGGACTGAGCTCGATAACATTGACCAAGCACAGCCACTGGGCCGTTGTAGCTGCCACCAGGCCTGCTGAAGGAACTCCAGCGGGTTTCATCAGACTCGTAAAGTTTCTTGTTTTTGCTGGGGATTTCTGTATTTTACCGCTCCCTCCTGCAGTCTTCCCCTATTAAAATTTAAAATGTGTAACTTTATGTATTGTGATGAATGACTAATATTCATGTAAAACTAAAACGTTAGGCATTTAGGGGGAAAAAACAAAATAATAAACATTATACAGATGTCAAATAAATCAAACTGTAATTAAACTATATATTTTCAAAGTCATATAGACAGCATGATGGTTTGTGTGATCCGCGCGGTTTCACTTACACCCCTTTAATGATCAGGCTGTTTTTTATTATTTTTATCAGCTGATAGCAGTTAAAATTATGGTAAAAAATACTTTTATCTGTTTTTGATAACTTAATGCCCAGGAAGAGCATCTTCCTGGGCATTAAATATAACCCAAATGTTTTATTATGAGCAGATCTGATGAAGGTGTAGACAAGCAGTCTGCAAAGTAAAACTTGTTTAGAGTCCAAACTCTTACTAAAGCTTTTGAAAAGAAAAAATGGTTGAATTTTGAGAAATATCCACAACAGGGGAGCAACACCTCTGAAAAATGTATATTTTCTCTGAATTCATAGAATAATGTGAAGATTCTGGGAAAAGTTGGGATTCTGAGATTAAAACGTAAATCTTTCTAATCATAATTCTGGCAGTTTTTGTGTCCTTCTGCTGTGGAAAGTCGTGCAACATGAAGATACTGAGAAGATGCTTACAACCTGTATTTTTAATTCCATCCATAAATAAAATCATGAGCTATTTTTTTAATCCAAATTTGATCCAAAGGGCCATCGTTGGTTCCAGACCCGTTCTAGAACATTCCTCTAATCTTAAAGTCATCATCAGTTTCTTCCTTTTAACAAATATTTATTTGTTCAAATATTTAATATTTATAACTGGAATATTTGTTCCTCCCTCTCCCACTGCAGTTAGTCCTGTCCTGCAACCCTGTTTTTGCAGCTAGTGAAGCCAACCATCACTAACCTGGGGGTGGTTTTGGACCCAGAGATGCGGATGGACTCCCACATTAGCCAGGTGGTTAGATCCTGCTTTTCCCGGCTTCGCCAGCTACCAAAGATGAAGTCCATCCTGAAAGACGTGTCATATTTTCTCCCCAAGCCGGACCTGACCGTCATGTATCGGTCCAAAATAGTGTGATGATATTGTGTTTTTTGTACATAACAGACTTTTTAACAGACAAATTTGTCGCATTCTCCTACACCTCTTCACGGGCTCGCCACAGTAAATATTCTGTTTGGTGAGAGATAAACTTTATTGTATTTATCCTAGTGAATCTATAATTAAACGGGTAAACTAGTAGTAGCACATCCAACATCAAAGAAAGTAAAATGTTACTATCAGGAGAGGGAGAATGTTTAAGTGGTTAGCAGCAGTGTGCTAGCCAATGGCCCCCTCCATGAGGCCACCACAGCTCAGCAGAACGTCATTGTAGCTTCTTCTGGGGAGAAAAACACTTAGAGAAAAAATAAAGTTAACAGCTGAAATAGCAGGAAATAATACAGTTAAAGAGCAGATTGTAGAAGAAAGAAACCCCTGGGTTAAACTGGTCTGTCTACTGCATAATGCTGAACTCTAACATGTGTCCTCAGGGAAGGACCTGATTGGTGTCCAGAACCTGCTGAAGAAGCACCAGGCTCTGCAGGCTGAGATCACAGGTCATGAACCTCGCATCAAGGCTGTCACCCAGAAAGGAGAGACCATGGTGGAAGAAGGTAGAGCAGGTCTGGTCCTGACATGTTTCTGAGGTGTCTGCAGGTTCTGGCTCACTTTTTTTGGGTCCAGGTCACTTCGCTGGTGAGGAAGTGAAGACTAAACTGTGGGAGCTTCATGGACGTTGGGACACGCTGAAGGCCAAGGCGTCCCAGAGGAGGCAGGACCTGGAGGACTCTCTGCAGGCCCAGCAGTACTTTGCGGATGCTAATGAGGCCGAGTCCTGGATGAGGGAGAAGGAGCCCATCGTTGGAAGTCCAGACTAAGGGAAAGACGAGGACTTGGCCGAGGTATGGAAGTCCCTTCCTGAGAAACTCCAATCGCTTTTCTTTGCTCTCTTTCCAGTCCTTCATAATTAGTGTTTCTGTATTTGTCATTTCCTTCGGTTGTCTACCAGACGTCGTTGCTCGTTTGAGCGTCTCATGGGTTAGGGGTAGAAGTGCTGGCCTCGCACAGGAAGTGATGACAAACGTGTTCCCGTCGCTCTTATTTCAAACGGTTTACAAGCTGTGATGTGTGTTCCCGCTGCAGAGCAGCCATGACACGTGGCAGCCGGCAGAAGGCTCACGCTTTTCCACTAAACACCCGCAGAGCTACGTCTGCGGTGAACTGAGCAGGGTTTGTTTTACGGTGGCGGATCCGATTGGACCATCGCTGCGAGAAAGCTCCACTTGTGTCAGACGAGCTGAAGGTTCTGATGTTCTGCTCCACAGGCTCTCCTGAAGAAGCACGAGGCCCTGATGTCGGACCTGTCGGCTTACGGCAGCAGCATCCAGGCCCTGAAGGAGCAGGCCCAGTCCTGCAGGGTGAGTTCAGAACCCTTGGCCCGTCAGAACATTCTTATCCACCACGTTCTAACACCAGACCTGTTAACCCGACAGCAACAAGATAATCAGCAGGTGCTTTTGTCCTGCAGGACCTGAAGGCCAACGAGTCCCGCCTGAGGGACATCAACAAGGTGGCATCTGAACTGGAGTCAGAAGGTCTGATGGCTGAGGAGGCTCCTATGGTTCCGGCTCAGGTGAGCGTCACCTGTCTGCAGCAGCTGGTCCCTCTCACTTCCTGGTTTAACTCTGCTCGTCTATGTTTGTAGCAACAAGAACATCTGGGTTCTGCTCCTGGAAAGGTGCGTGTTGTCCTCCGCCTCCACCAGAACCAGACGTGGTGTTTATGTTACCACTCATTTGTTTGTTTACAGGATGAAGCCGACTCTAACACGGCGTCACCCTGGAAGGTGAGTTCATTCAGCTGATCAGAGGTCACCTCTGATGGCCGCAGTCACGGCCGACCGTGCTGACATCACACAGGAATTCAGGTGACCCGGCAGGCACCAGGTGCTGGTGAAAGTGGGGACATGTCAGCTGGTTGCCATGGCTACAGTTATTTTTATGCATCTGTATGACTGCTGACTGGTGTGTGTTTCCTGTGACCTTTGACCTCAGACCGTACGGTTGGGCGTTCAGACGACGGCTAACTTTAATTCCATCAAGGTAAGAGGAAGCTCTTCCCTTCCTGTCTGAGCGATCCGTCTCCAGGTTTCCTCGTCCGGCGTCCAGCCCGCTGGCGTCCACCTTCATCTCACCTTCATCTCATCTCACTTCATTTATAGTGCAATACTTTCACATTATCATTTTCCCACACTTCTGTATACCTGTATTTTGTTGTTTTTCAATAAAGAATGACAAATTATTTAAGTTTGGTTTTTGTTGCACACAAATATATATCTGTAAAAAATATCTACAAAGCTAATGTTTACATAACAAGTATGATTGGGTTTTGCAATACGGCACTCAAGTTTATTTTAGTAAGATTTTCAAACCAAGTAAAGTTAGTAAAGAACACATTTCTATTGTCTGCTAAGAAACTGTTGGGATTTAAAATGGGCCTGTTGTACAAATAACTTGTAAATGATTATTCCTCACTTTTGTCTTAACCAAAGAAATTCCAGTAATTGAGCAAAAACATTTATTTTTAACACTACATTTTATAAAACAGGGCGCAAAGTGTCGGCACATGTATGTATGTATGTCGATGGTCCGCCCCAACCAAACCAAGAGACACAGACGTCAGGGAGGCCAAGGTTGTCTCTGCAGCTCTCTGGGCACCACGCCTCACTCAGCTGTCTCCAATGATCCAAATGGCTATGGAGGAAAAAATAACAGGTTTGGCCTAGCTGTTTAAAGTACAAAACCATACATGAAGTGGTCAAGACAGGTACTTACACTTGCTTTGTGTAGCTGACGTTGACACACAGGCTGCCATGGTGACCTTTTAATAGATCTAAAAAAAATGTAATAAAAGAATGAAACTTAAAAACTCCCAAACCTCATGTCATATTTACTAATCAGCTATGGCTGATTCATTGTTTGGATCACAGTGAGTTACACTAATTCTAATATATTTTTATTTCTATTATACATACATACTTTTTAACTGTTATTTTCACATGACTGTTATCAGGCTCTCTTGTTCTGGTTCTGATGATAACTCTGTGTCTTCCAGTAAGTTATCTTGTGCTTACTTCATCTGTATAATGTCTCTTTACTTTTGGTAAATTGTACTGAGTCCAGAATAAAGGCTAGTTGGCTGTACAAGATACAAACAAGTATTACGTTTTGGAAATATATGAAACACCGCCAGCATCTGTTAGAGCCTGTGGCGGGGTGCTGAGGGCCGGCTCCAGCCCAGGAATGAGCTCTACACGCCGGCTGGGAGGGTTTGAAACACCGCCATCCTCTCCTCTGCTGGCTGTTCATTCTGTTATGGTTACCGGTGCTTGTGTTGCAATGTGAAACGTTTGGTCTCAGATTTTGTAAGAAAGATAATAAAATGTCCCCCCAAAATACGACTTAAATATATTTTCTCTTCTTCATGATACATTTAATGGCTGATGCGACTCAGGAGTGATAGCGCCGAAAAAAACTGTACTGAAAACTTGCTCAAAGCAAAATGTATTCATTACGGAAATAAATTATAAACTTACCGATTTAAAACTTTTTTAATACAGGTACTTCTCACGAACAGGCGCAGAAAACCTCCACCTAAACTCCGTGTGAGGTTCAGGTCGATGGGTGTTCCAGTTAGCTCCGGTTGGGTTGAAGCTAGGTGGCTACATCCGTTAGCTCGGCTCCCACCTCCGCTTTAGCTTTGGGTTAGCCAGGGTTAGCTTCAGGTTAGCTCGTAGCTAGTTCGCCTGGGTGTCGTCACTCGAGCCCAGCCTTACAGCCACACCCTCAGCGCCTCCTCTCTTCCCTTTTATGGAATTGTCTGGGCTGGACGGAACCTGTGACACGGTCAAAATGGCGGTGGTGGACACCTCCCATTATGGACAGATAACGTGTAATTGAAGCCTATGGAATCGAATTGTCCAGTATATGTACAGTCTATGGTGTTAATTAGCGAGCCACTAATCTCAACCACATTAATAACCGGGTCATGGATGCGAGGAAGAGAGGGAAGAAAAAAGAACAAACAGAAAAGATGTAACATCACGGCTCCGGGTGCAGTGATGGGAATTTTGCCCCTGTCTTTTCCCCATAACCCCTCCTAACCTTTCCCATTCTCCTCAGCACTCTCATCACGAACCCTCTTTGTGGCTCCCCCGACAAAAAAAAACAAAAAAACCTTCATCGGATGCCAATTTGCATAAAAGCAACAAGCAACAACTTTTTTTCCTGTCCTGTGTGGAATAGGCGGTCAGAAGCTCCGCCCACAAGCCATGTGAGTTGACTTTTTCTGTCTTTCAGACACGCAGGTGCATACGTGCAGAACAGCATGAGCATCAACGTGTTTACGACTCCCCTGATGCACAAAGCCCTTTATTTTTTACAGTGCACACACACACACACACACACACACACACACACACACACACACACACACACACACACACACACACACACACACACACACACACACACACACACACACACACACACACACACACACACACAAATGAAACCATTGCACATGCATTCATAAATACAGCATTCACACACACACACTCCTTTTGGAGTGTAATTAAAACAGGAGGTGCTCGTGCAATACGCTTTTGTCTTAGGGCACGTTGTTGGTGGTGGTGGTGGGGTGGGGGGGTGGGGGGGTCTGCATATTAAGGAGGCTATGGTGTGAAAGCCAGTCAGGCGTGTTGAACAGATGACACACAGGAACAAATATGGCACTACTTTTCTCGCTGCTCTCCCACGCTGGCGCATGGATACTGGAGGAGTGTGCAGTCACTTCCGGCGATGGCACGCTGCCAGCCGGATGGAAATTAGTAGCAGGGCTGTAGCGATGAATTAGGAGCCGGAACAATGCAGGAGGCTGTGTACTGCACAGCAGGGAGACGTGAGGCGGCCGATGGCGTCAGTCTCCGACCGTTAGATGGCGGTCTCTGGTTGAGGAGATTTTCGAATAAAAATGCACATTTTTGTTCTCAAAATGTCAAAATATGATCAGGAACTTGACGTGCAAATTCAGTGACTAATCAGAACAATCTGCTTTGAATTTGTGTGAGATTTAAAAATTTTTTTGGGGGGGTTTTCACAAAACCGACAAAAGCAACTGGATCATTCCGCACAATCTTTATTTTAACCTGGATTAAAACCATCATGGTACACAAAGCCATCAGATTCCTGCAGGAAGTATTTAGCTCAAATTTAAACATCAGATGTGTACTCAGAAGCGGACACATCTGTTTAGTTGTCAGTGTTTTGGCACGCTGGCAGCACCTTGCTTTTTCTCCAGTTCACAACCCATTTAAAGGACAACAGCTCAAGTGTTAAATCACAAAAGAGGAGAGAGCTGGCGAGAGGCTGACAGGCAGTACAGTGACAGAGAGAGACCTCCAGGACTCCGACGCAGTTTTTTATCCTTCATGACCACCCAGCGTCATTGACATGGACAATCCTGTCCTCCGTTTCTTTGTTTTTGCTTCTCAATTTCCCTTTTCTGCAGGTTTCCTTTCTCTGGCCTTTTGTATTTGCCTGCAGTATTTTTTACCCCATTTCCTTCATGTCTCTTTTTATTATTCGTCCTTCCTATGTGCCAGCTGAATCCGTCCTATTGGGCTAATCGCTAATGCTCTTTTTCAGCCTTTGTTTTATTTGCGGAGGCCTGTCTCTACCTATTCCTTCTCTTCTTTTGCTTTCCTCCTCTTTGCCAGCTCACTCTTTGTCGTTTTCAACCTCCCTCTCTCATTCTCACAAGCCTCCCCCCTTCCTCTTTCAGCTCTACCCATCCCTCTCTGTTACTTCCCCAGTGAAGGGGCACTTTACTGCTCCTGTCTTTCGATCTCCGCTGTTGGCACCTAGTTCTGAGTGCCAGGCCCAGTGTGTGTGGAGGGGAAGCTGTGTTTGAGCAAACGGGTGCCCACGCCTGCCCCCGGCACCACAAAGAAAGATTTCTATGCCCATCAATGGCTTCCATTAACGGTGAGCCCTTCGCCTCCAGAGGGGATGTCAGGCACACAGGGATGGCCATTATGGAGGCAGGAAGCCGGGGGCAGGGGCATCATGGGAGAGCTGCCAGGGGCAACGAGCTGGAGGGGTACCGAGGGCACGAGGTGGCGTTTTGTGTTGTAAACTCAGCGTTGTGTATGTACAGACACAAACTCTATTAAAGGACACATTTATTCTCTCACACAAACTGAAACATGCATTTGTGTGCGAGTCAGGGTTAAGCAACTGTTTGAAGTCCTGCAAAAACGGACGTTGCAAGGATTTAGTCTTAAACTTAACAACACAACTAGCAGCATGTTGTACTTTTAGTAACTTCTTAATAAAATCCACCTAAAAAAGACTATTTCCTGCAGCCATTATGAGAACGTCTGAACTTGAAAAATAAAAGAAATTGTACTTCTTTAGGATTATGTAAGTTTTTCATCAAATTCAAATGAATAAAACATTTGTCCACTCATTGATTTGATCAATTAAAAAGTTATGTTTTAATGACATTTTCAGTAAAAATTGTTGCAGACAGACCTGATATAATCTCTGAATGACACACTGAGCAAAGGTGGGCATTTTTCCTTTTGGTAGCAATCGTTATTTGTTTATTTATTTGTTTGGAAGGGGGGTCATTGGCACTTGCAGTAACACAATTAAAGAAAATAAACCTTTAATTCATGTCTGACCCACAAATGTCTGTTTTCACTTTGATTTTTAAAGCTACTGAATGTGATTTTCTCAGTTAAAGGTGTTTTTTTGTAGGTTGGTTGCTGCCTAAAAAAAAGTAAGAGAATAAACCATTAATGAATAAAACATATTTATTTCATTTTTAAGGTAAGAAACAATAACAATGTGATGCACCTAAATCAATATGGCAGTGAGGGGGGTTCAGCTGTATCTGGTCAGAGTGAGATCACTGCTGCGTCTAAGAGGAGGACATGAAAAGAGGCGGTTCGACCTTCTCAAGACCTTCTCAGAAGATGCCACGGAACAAGGAAAAGGAGGGTCAGCTCTGCAGGGGTGTGGGCGTGCTGCGGGAGCAGGTGGGGTTCTGAACAAGAGACCACGACTGTGTGCAGATCAGAGGGATGTGTGCAGAGCCGGGCACTGTCAATATCCAGTGATCTAATGACGGCCCGACTTCAGAGCAGCACTGGTTCTCTTTGCACAGCGCCAATTAACTCCAAGGGTGGGGACAGTTGATGGACAAGTCTATTATTAGCATGTGAGGAGTGCTGCGGCGCCTAAAAGAAATCAAAGGAAGAAAAGTCTTGAAGGAAGTGGCAAATGCAAAGTGAAAGCAAGTGATATGCTTGACTGGTCCAATTGTGGCCGTGTTGCTTTCTTCTCCCTTTTGCGTTCCCAACTCATAAGTGAAGAATTATGCTCTGAAAATGATGGAAGTTGTGGCTTTGCAGACCTTTCATGATACAAAACAGGAAAATACAATAGTTTGTTCACAGAAACCTATGAAAGTGAGGATTGCTGCTTGTCACAAAACCACATTCTTCTTTCCTGTCATCGCTGTGAGGACTGAGGAGGTCCACTCTTCCTGAAACTTCTTCCAAATGTCACAACAATCAGTGTGAAGGATTTTTGTTTGCACCCCATTGGCGTGTTTTCAGATGTGACCAGTTTAAAAAATAAACAAAAGAATGCAGCCAAGAGTGGTTTAAATCTACTTTATCTTTCATGAAACTCGCAGGTTGCAGGAGTCTTTTAATCTGAAGGAGGTAAAACTGCAGCTTTACTTGGTTGGAGAAGGTGCTGCAAAAATAGTTTTTGTTGAAATTGTGCCTGTGTATTGTTCTAGAAGAGATTTACCTTCTTTTAGATTATTTCTACTTGACTTCCTGGTTTAGATCTGTCGAAATAAAATATTTGATCCTACTGCCTTCCTCACGTGACATTTTTGATCTCATTAAAACAGTAAACTCATTTTTTTCTCTTAAAGTAGCCATCAAATGCTTAAAGATTACTTTTATGCTTATTGTTGGTGTTTAAACTAATGATGGCATGCACAGGAACTGAAAACCATTTAACAGACCATGAGAATGTCGCAAAAGACAGCTTTTCTCCTTTACATGAACCAGTCATCTAGTCCGTTCACATCATATTTCACCTTCTCTTAAAGATTAAAACCAATGTCCTTCTTGAGTGTTGCAATAGAAAGCAGCCGGACTTTTTTTCTTGTAGTTTGAAAATGTTTCCTTTTCATCTGAAAGGTCTTTTAAAATCAGAATTGAAGATTTCTTTCAAAGATGAGAAAGTGAGACTAATCCAGAGCTCTTGAGTAAATGTGAGGAAACACTCTGAGATGTGAGGTGATCTCAAGGAGGGAACACTGAGGTGTAAAAATCCATCCAGGCGGAAAACATCTTATATGAGCAAAACATTTCAGCACAATCATCATCATTTCGGAGAAAATCTGTCACAGAAAATTGGTATTTTATTTTTATTTTGCCTGATTCTCTGCATTTTACAGCCTTACAGACCCAGTCACAGCATGTGATGGATAGAAGCTCTTTGCTTCCCCTTCACCAGCCAATCAGGAGACATTTAACTTCAAGAGAAATTAATTAAATCTCCATTTTAATGAAGACTTAATCTCAGAGTCTGCTCATAATGGTTCTGGTGAAACAGGGATTAAAATGATGAGACAAATAAGAATGTAGAGGAAGAAGATCTAATGTTTAATAATGTTTCTACGGCATATAAGATCATTTAAAACATTATTTATGGGACAAATGTATTAAAATCAAATGTGTAAATGTGGCTTAATTCAAAGTTATAGAATTCTTGGAGATTCTCATCAAAACAGACAAAAGAAGAGAAAATTGAAATAAAAGTAATGTTTTTTGGTTAAAATCTGCATTTATGACAATAACTAAACAAGGCCAGGGAAGAGACAAGAGTTCATAGAATGACAGATTTTAGTTGT